AGTCTCTAATCATTCAAAGATATCTTATTCAGGGGTAGTTGGTAGACTGAGTCCCGATTACTCGTGACGACTTACTGCTCGGAGGGATTGGAATCCCTTTTAGGGGGGTGTGCACACTTAAGGTAGTCGTTTCGTTTCCACAAGAGCAGTTGTGGTACCGGCATTGTTCGGGGTGGCCGTCCGTAACCACGGTTCACCGGGCTCAGCCGAAAGATTGAGCACCGCCCTTCTAAACTACTAGGAAGTTAGAAAGATTGGGATTTTGAAAATCCAAAGAGAAGAAGAGTTTGCAATTTAAGTAGTGACTTTTGAGGTGATACCCAGAAAAGAAGAATTTATTTTTGAAGTGAATAAAAGAGAAAAGGGTTTCGAGTGAGTTATTTTTATATAATATTATATAAAAATCTATTTTAGTCAAACGTGATTATTTTACAGGGTTGGGTAGTACTTACTTAGCTCTAAAGCTAATTTTTGTTTTCTTTCCCTTGTTTTGTTTTCTGCATTTTTTATGCAGGTGATGATGAATATGTTGATTGTTGATTGCATGCGCCTGAGGGCGGATTAGAGATGCCTTAGTCAAATCTAGTCATAAAATAAACATTTAATTATTATTACATTAGTTTTTGTTATTTTGTTTTGGGTTGCCTGTGCATTCGGTTAAGAGATGACCGAATGTGGCGGTAACACCCGTTTCCCATTATGATTATTATTTCCGCTGCAAAACTCTATCTATTTTGAACGAATAAATCAAGTTTATTATCACTATATTATTATTTCAAGTATTATTTTGGGAGGGAAAATGGGGGTGTTACACATAGACAACTAAAATTATTCAGAGCTGTAAGGATTGTTTCCGTCTCCGGCTCAGGTCTTTCTACACAAAGACTCACATACACCACACTAGGCTAGACATCTTCACCACTAAGCTCCATCTCTACCACTAAGTAACCTCTCTCACACTCTCACACAAAGAAAAGGAAGAAGAAGTAGAGCACTGCTCTCTAGGGAGTATCTCTCGCAGGCTGCCTTCAACTGGAGAAGGAAGAGGACTACTAATAGGCTGCCAAGCAAGCTGGAAGTCACGGGTGAAGGAAACAAGTGACACTCACGGACTACACAAACAAAGGGGTGCAGCGGACAGAATAGGGGCCAACCATTAGATAAGTCAACAGCCAATAAGTGAGGTAAAATAAGGTATAGCTTAGTGGGAGTAAACTTAGGGTGTAAATCAATAATAAAGTGGAAGGGAGGTCTTGGTAGGACCAATACCTCCAACAAGAGCAACTCAGTAACTAACGTATCAGACTCGCATATCGGTATTCTCACCAATGTGAAACATGGTCATATATATAGTGTATGACCTATTGCAAATGAGTCATCCTATATCGTATTCAAATGTTTTCCTACATTTCGGGCTTGAGTATATTTATACTGTTTTAACTGTATGTTACATCGCCATCTATTAATTTTGTGGAGTCACGCAGATTGGCTTATACGGAGGGATGAAAGGGTTCTTGTTTTCAAAAAGCCATTATATAGATTCCATTGTTAAGACTTCAGTAAATCAACACCCAATGACTTAGGGTACCAAAATATAGATTTGGTACCCTTACAATATAGTAACCTGATGTCATATATAGGAATTCATATAAACGCCGCGTATTCCTTGATGAGGTTATGTATACGTTTGTCAATACCCTAACCCATCATGTTATATAATGGGGTGTCCTTTTTTTTTTGGATGAAATGTAAATATATATTAACACCCAAAACGGAACTATACAACACATGTCCTAGATCTCCTAAAACCTCCCCCACCCCCACATAAAGTGGGGGTGAAAGGAGGTTTTTATTTGATCTAATCCATGTCCAAAAAACCAAGTATAGTACTTGGTCAATCAAAAAGTACAAAACTACATCAGAGCTGCAGAAGCACGCTCACGGATCAAAGGCTAATAAAACAGATGCATACAAGATGTTGCAATAGGCAAACATCCCCAAAAATCAGAAGTTCAGTTGAGGCCGCAGCATAATTAGTTCCCAGAGGTTCTATAAATGCCGCAGCCTAATTCCTGCCCAAAGGTGCTATTAATGCCGCGGCATAATTCTGCTTATAGCTTTGCCTCCTGGCCGTGTCTTCCTTCAAAATTTGATAAGATCATGTGGATATATAGAATACATTATTTTGTATACCACATGTTTTATCTTTGCAATGACCTCTTCTTCCATTTTTATGCTTCCATCAAATCTACAGGAGTTCCTAGCATTCCAAATGTAGTAGACCGAGGCGCAGAAAGCTAGGCAGACTGCCTTTGCCTTCATCCTCGAGCCTTTGTGAGTCTTTGTGATCCATTTGATAGCGCTTAGCAGCGTAGTCATCTCATGCCGCAATCCCATCCAATCTCTTATGCGATGCCACACCCTACATGTGAAGGGACAAAGGAAAAAAAGGTGTGGTATTGTTTCCAAACCACCCTTGCAAAGGTCACACCTATTCACAATGTGCAAATACCCAAGGCTATCCTGTGTAGGAAGCCGGTTCCTTAATGCCATCCATACATTAAAAGATAGTTTGGGAGGAATGTAAGACTTCCATATGAAACACATAGGAGTTCTAACATTACCCCTTACTCTTAGTAAATCATAAATTTTTGCAGAGGCTAATTTTCCATGCATGGATCGTGCATTAAGGCCGAGCAACATATCGTTTCGATTATTAAAACATTCACATATTTTATTCCGTATAAGACTTAATCGCTTCATTAGTTGGGAGTCCCGAGTGTGTGGGACAAAGTCCCACACATTTCTACCTTTGAGATAGACTCCATTCACCCAACGTACCCAGAGCGTGTCCTTTTTTTGGTGGACATCCCAAAGGGTTCTAGATAGGAGAGCATGGTTCCATATCTTAGCATTATGGATACCCAAGCCCCCTTCCTCTCTAGGGAGGCAAATGTCATCCCAAGCCACCTTTGCAAATTTCCCACCCCATAGGAAAATACGACAAATCGAGACAATCCTATTTAAGATTGTTTGAGGTACCGGGAACACTTGAAGCCAAAACGACTGAACTCCTTGAATTACAGAACGAATTAGCTCAAGTTTACCCGCATAGGAAATTGTCTTGGTATTCCATGCATTCAAAAAATCATTAACCGTATCCAAGAGTGGGGCATACTGTGCCACCGAGATTTTGAGGGGCGCAAGTGGGACCCCAAGGTATCTCACAGGGAAAATACCCTGGTCAAAGTCAACAAGATCTAATATACCTTGCACATCAAAACTATGAACTCCTCCAATGAAAATGTTTGACTTGTTATGATTAACCCTTAGGCCCGATACGTCCCCAAACTCTTTTAGGGCATCAACTAATATCCCAATGGAATATTTGTCTCCTCTAGAAAAGAGCATAAGATCATCCGCATAGGCCAAATGGGTTATACCCAAGGATCCACAAAGCGGGTGGTAATTAAATCCCGACGTCTTAGTTTTTATGGCAAGAAGACGAGAAAAATACTCAAGGCATAACACGAAAAGCAAAGGGGACATTGGATCCCCTTGCCTAATGCCACGCTTCCCCTTAAAAAAACCATGCAAAGACCCATTTAACGACACAGAAAAGGAGGCCGTAGTGACACACTCCATAATCCATCCCACAAAAATTCCGGGGTAGCCCAAACCCGTAAGGACATTGGCAAGGAAATCCCAAGAGATGGTGTCATAGGCCTTCCGCAAATCCACCTTGATCATGCAACGAGGTGAAATTCGCTTCCTATTGTATCCTCTAACAAGTTCCTGGGCTAGGAAAATGTTATCAAACATTAGGCGGCCGTCGACAAACGCACCTTGCGCTTTATTAATCAAACCCGAGAGGGTAGGGATAATTCTTGCCGCTATGACAGTATGATTCAACTGTTTAAGCATCTTTCCCGAGTTAAAAAACTCTTTGGTCGCCCGAGTCACATCCCCCCCCCCCCCCACAATATTCCAATTCTTTTTAAAAAACGCCGAGGAATAACCATCCGGCCCTGGTGCCTTGTTATCTCCAATATCAAACAAAGCATCTTTAATTTCTTTGTTCGTTATTGGGGATAATAGGCATTCATGAACACTTGGTTCAATCAACGGGCCGGTTCCTAGTACCGTATGGTCAAAGGAAAAGGTTTCCATCTCGGTTCCAAAAAGATCAACAAAAAATTTTACAAATTCATTCCCAACATGATCAATAGAAGAGGTAAGACTACCATCATCCAAAGTAATGGAGGTAATGGTATTTCTGGCCTTGTTTCTGTTGACAATTGCGTGGAAGTATCTTGTACCCTTATCTGCCTCAAGAATATGCGTGGCCTTAGCTCGTTGTTGGAAGAAACAACATTCGGCCTCACAAAGAAAAGTAGCTCTCTTCCTCGCCCCTTTGACTTGGTCTTCCAGTTCGGCATCATTGGGTGAGTTTAGCCATAATCTATGCAACGTTTTGAATTCCTCTTTCGCATGTTTAGCTTTCGTAGATATGTGACCAAATTCCAAATTATTAAGATTCTTAAGGGGCTGTTTTAGCAACTTAAGTTTCCTAGCAATTTGAAATTGGGCCGAGCCATTAATGTCCACATTCCAATTCTGCATAAGTATGTTAGTGAAATCCAAATGTTGCAACCACATGTTAAAAAATTTAAATGCTTTCGGCCTAGAAGAGGAATTATAGAGTATAGACACCACGGAAGCCGTGTGGTCAAACTCGACCTCCATTTCCGCGAAATGGGCCTTACATTCTATCCCTAAATGAGCCCATGACTCATTAAGTAATACCCGGTCTAATTTTGCCCAAATGTTACCTTTATTCCACGTAAAAAATTCCCCAGTTGAAGGGGCATCTTGAAGATTGGCCCGAATTTTAAAATCCAATAAGTCCTTTAAAACATACCCCGATGGAGTAGAAGAACCCAACCTCTCATTAGGAGAGCATACACAGTTGAAATCTCCAGCGATCAACCAAGGGTCCCTAATTAGGTCACCAAGCGACGTGAGATGCTCCCATAATGCCCTACGCCTTAAAACTGTATATAGCGAGTAAACAAACGTAGCATAAAACACAGTTTGTGATGTTCGGCATTGGCATTTAAAGTGTATGTATTGTTCTCCCATTTCAATCATAGTACATATAATCAAGTTGGGGTTCCAAAAAACTAGTATACGACCCCCATCAATAAAGTCGTGGTTAGTTTGAAATTGCCAACCCGGCCATTTATTAGAAATATAATTAGAAATATTATTTTTTGTCATTTTTGTTTCTAAAAAACCGCATAAGCATACATTATTTACCTTAATAAAATTCGATATATAAAGTAGAGTGTTTAGAAGGTTTTTTCAAACCTCTTACATTCCACGAAGCAACCTTAATCATCCAAATCATCCGGGTTGGAGGTGCGGTCTTCCTCCGAATCATCCCCATTCTCTTTCGCTTTTCCTTTTATTTGCGCTTCCTTCATTGCCCTTCGGGCTTCCACATTCTCTATACTGTTATCATCAAAAAAGGCAACAACCTTAGGAATAAAAATAGAAGTGTCAAAATTAAACCATGCTCCCTCGCGGCTGACTCCAGGCAGTTCGCGGATGCACTCAAGAGTGAAGCTCATGCCGGGATCCTCAAAATTTGCCCTTTTGAAGTCAGGACCCACTCGATATATAGGCATACTAAAAGGGAGAAGTTCCCTCTTCCCTGCATATACAATTCTATGCCCATCCGTATCAAACTCCATGCACGTAATCACATCTTCCTCATCTAGTTCATAAACATTATTGACTAGACGTTCCCCCCAATCCTTGTATGGTTTCTTCCTCACATATATCGGGTCATGCAATTGAGCCGCGGCTTTGGCCTTGGAACGCCTTTCCACTTTAATCCTTTCCTCAACTTCCATTGCTTGTTCTCTTGCACGTGCGAACTCAACATTATGCCTAGCTTCAAGATCAAAGAAAGATGCAATGTTAGGAATAAAAATTTCTTTATTAAAATTATACCATTTTTTGGCACGCTTTACACCCGGGAGGCCCACCAAGCAAGGGTCCGTGATAAAGATTGCCGGTGAATCCTTTTGAGCTTCCTTAAGCGTATGAATGTCAAGTCTTGCCACCGGGGTTTGCCCTTTGATTTGTTGTTGTTTTTTAACAAAAACAACCGTCGCACCATCCTCCTCGGTATCAAAATCAACTATAATGTCATCCGAGAGCAATTGGTGCACACTTTTGATCTTTCTTCCTCTCCAAACAAATTTCTTTCCAAGATTTAAATTCGGCCCACTGGGAACTGTAGAACCAGCCACCTTAGGGGCCACTTTGGTGGCATTCGGGTTCTTTTTTGTTGAGGATTGGTTTTTATTCTTCCTTGGTACCACCAATTGGAAAGAGGTCTCCTCGGTTTGACCATTAGTAACCACATTAGGCTGAATTTGCTTCAATGTAATGCTTTTGGTAGTAGTCGCCTCTTCTTGCACTTTTTCACTAAGTTCCGGATGCAATATCATACACTTGAAAGGATCATGCCCATATTTTTTGCATTCATAGCAATAATTAGGATATGTTTCATAATACACATATTGTATTCTCTTCTTCCCGGATGGTTGAATCATAGGGATTTCAAGGATCGGCGGTTTAGATAAGTCCACCTCCACAAGCACTCTAGCAAAATTAGGTCTCATTTTAGTAAGAGTGACTTGATCCGCAACAATAGGCACCCCCACCCGTGAAGTAAGTTCACTAATCTCTTCTTTGTTCCATAGTGTGACCGAGAGACCGGGTAGCTTGATCCAAATAGGGACTTTAAGAAATTCCTCATCATCAACTTCAAAGTCGTCGGATAAGACCTTTAGAAATAAGGCCTTACCATAGGATGAATATGGCCCTCCGGATATGACCTTGGTACGGTCCTCTTCATTTTTGAATTGGAATATGGTCCATCCTTTATCATGTTTTTTCAGTTTGCATTGAACACCCCATGTATTAACAAGATCAAGCACCGCTTTGATACCGGGAAATCTCCCGGTGAAGATCCCCACCAAGCAATATCCCCATATATCAATAATGGAGGGCACCTTTCGGTTTGAGAAATCCACAATATCTCCCTTAGGTGGGATAAATTCAAGCTTCATGCCATGGGATAGAGAACGATTGTTTTGAAATAAATTGGCCCACCCCTTTTTTTCATTTTTCTCATCCTTGGATGTGGCATCGAGGCTAGCTTCTGAGTAAGTATCGATGGATCCAAGGGTCTCGGACTCGTCCTCTATCAAGTCATCTTTCTTGTGATTTGCATTCCCAATTGGAGAGACTCCAGTTGATGAAGCAGATTGCTTCTCAAAAGTAATTTCTTTCGAAGATTCCACAGTTGAATGTGTAGGATTAATAGTAAGACTTGGAGCAATTTTGGGAATATAAGGAGCAAGAACTTGATCTCCACTTTTCTTTTTGTCTTCGAGCTCCTTCTTGTCATTAAGCATCTTGATCTTTGCGTCAAAAGAATTATCCTTCGGAGGAGGAGTATGATTCTTCTTGTTTTTCTTTGTCATCGGATAGGTTTGCATAACCTAACCCCAGTACAGAGCTTAAGTGTGCCTGAAAAGTTAGTAAGAAAAACACAAACATACAGAAAAAGCAAGCAGTAGTATTCAAGGCAGTGTTCACCAACCCAAACTATTTCCAAAAAATTTGAAAATACTTTCACACAACCCCCTTGAAGTTAGGAACACACCAGTATAAACCTTTACCCCAGTGGACAAGTATTGAATCCAGAAAAAATTCCTAACTAGTCAAAGGTTCGCAGGAATTACTGTAGCAGGCAGTGAGATAGGAAAGGGAAGATGAACAGTACTCAAGTAAATTCGAACTTCCCAGAAAAATCTGAAAAAATTCCAAATTACTCGCCAAGTGATAACGAAGCAGAGGAACAAACAACAAACTAAACACAATATGCAGTGAGTTCAGAAAAAAATCAAGTAAGGAAGTAACCTGCGTAGTGCTACAGTACCCAAGAATTTGGGGAGAAATAGAAATCTTACTTCCACCTGATAAAACCGGTACTACTGGCTTCGCCTAGGTTAGATGCTTCCAAAACCGTCTTTAGAATTCAATTTGGACGATAGGCTTTAGAGAAATTTGAGGTCAACGCTCTGTGGTGAACAGTAGCCGTCCGCAACGGATCCTTTCTTCCTTCAGTACGGCGGCGTTGTGGTGGCCTGAAACCAGTTGCTAGAGGTTCGCCAGAGGTCGGAGACCCCCAGGGAACCGTCTTCTTCCACAAACAACCGTCTACAATGGGATCTAAGTGGAGTTTCTAAATCGGGGATGAACAGTACAATCTGCGAAACTGGGGTTTCCAAAATGGGTCGATTCTCTCTCAGCAATCACTTTCTTACAAATCCAATCGGTAGATATGCAAGACAAATGATTTACGAGCAAGAGGAACACGGTTATACAGGGATTAATTCGTTGGAATGTCTGGGAGAGCAATCGGGAGTGACGAGCTATCTAAGGAAGTTCGAACTTTTGAGGGTGCGAAACTTTCCTAGAGAGAAGCAGGAGTGTTTTCTCAACTCGTTTATTATAATGGGGTGTCCTACTAATAGGGTGTGTAAACCTTTTTATTCATGGATGTAGCACGAACACCGTATTATATATTCCTGACAGATATTTCAGGAATATTATGTTTCGTCATATCCTGTAGACAATAGGAACCCATCTACTAGGGACATCGTTTGTTCTAATTGTCAAATTTAAAAGATACAATTATCCCCCATATGACTAAAACACTTTCACTTTCCCAATCTAAGACCAAACTAGTCTTTTTCTCAAAATATTACCTTAATTTGTATTATTTAATTAAAATTTGTAATTAATAAATAATTAAATTATTTCTATGGACAAATATACCCTTTATGTTATATCTATAAAACCCTAAGCTCCTACCCTTTTTCTCCAACCCTAGCAACTACACGCAAAAGATCTCTGGCTTCCTGCGCTCCCCGCACGCCTTGCTGCCGCCGGCTCACTGTCCGTCGCCGTCCAATAGCATGGCCGCCGCCACCAGTCCATCTACTCGCAGGTTTCACGGCCACCGTCCACCGACCACCAGTCCATCTCTAGTTCCACGCTTGTTCGACGCCGTCGCCGCCAACCGATCACGCCAGTACACCACCGCCATCACTACACCTGCGCGCCGCTGTCGTCCCGATCCATGGGCGCCGCCTCCATCCCAATTCATGCTCGTCAACATCGTCCCAAGCCCTGAGCATTGTCGTCCTCGTCGCCGTCCAACCGCATGATTGCACTCGATCCAAATCACTGCCGCGCCCCTCTGCCGCTCCTACAACTCAGATTCTTCAGTCAAGGCGGCCAAGGTTGATGGCGAACCGAGGTTGAAGACGAACCTAGGTTGAAGACGATGAAATAAGTGTGCAATGAATAATTTATATTTAATGCCATGAACATCACAAGAAGCGCAATGAGTTATGACAAAACGTGCAATGATATGGCAAGAAGCGCAATAATGTAAAAAGTGCAATGACATGAAAAGAAGTGCATTAAAAATGACATGAAAAAATATCTATAAATTCATAGCATTATTTGTAATATTTAACCAAATGTAAGAACTAAAGTTATGAAATCTAAAAAACGCTAAATTCATTTTATGTAATGTTATGTCGTGCAGTGAATACCGCCATAAAGTGCAATAAATGTAGTGCAATAACGCCTTCATGAAGTGCAATATTTTTACCCGGACGAAATTAGTGTAAAATGCATATTTTTAAAAAAAGGGTATTTTTGTCCTTCCACAATTTAATATAACGAATTTTTTTTTTGGTCATATTTCGAGAAAAAAACATAACTAGTCACATTTCGAGAAACTCACTTTGTTTTAGTCATATCCCAGGAATTTTTCCAATTTAAAATAGTGGTATTAATTCATATAATTACACATTCTTTGTAGGGACATTCCCCATTGTAATGGTCTTCATGCAACCTTAAATTTCATATTTCACTATCACGAAATATACAGTCTGATGGGGTATATCTGTTGGGTGTGTTTCGGAAAATAAAGAAAATTAATTAAAATAAATTAATTAAATAAAATGACTAGAGAAAAACAAGAAAGGAGATGAAGCAGAATTAGTCAAAGCTCGTGCGTAGCACGATGTCCTTAAAACGTATTTGTTGCCTCCCACGGTGCTAGGAGCGTTGCAACAATAGTTTCCCAGGATACGACTACAAACTAATGTTTGAGCACAGTATGAACATAGGGGAAATTTTCTGGAATGCTAGCAGTGTGTTTTTAGATAGGAGTGTATGAATTCGTGTAAGAACGCTGCATTAAAACATATAAACGTTGGGCATTTATTGCTGTAACGGTTCAGAACGCTGCATTAAAACATAAATGTATTCGCGGTTTTTCTTCTCTGATTTCGGGATTTGATTTGCACCCCCCTGCGCGCGTGGAGAGAACCTTTACCCTTAAGAATCTTAACTTCATAAGGGGGGAGTCCCTTTATAAAGGGTTGCAAATCCCTTGGGTTTTCCGGTGTGGGAAATTAACACACTAGAAACCCATCCTTTTTCCCTGTTTTTCCATTCTAACGGGTCAACTTCGAAAAGCGATTTCTCATTCACCCGTTATCCGTTTTGAGCGCACCATATATCGAATTGTAGCTCTTAACAAGGAAAATCCGAAACCACTTTGACCCGACCCAAATCGGAAGTGTACCCCACTCAAAAAATTGCCCCAAAATAGCCATTTAATGCAATTTTTCACACATTTTTCCAACAATATCATCGTATCACAAGTTTTCAGTGAGAGTATATGTATATGTATCAACATTGGCATGGACTAGTCGTTAACATATCCAGTGGGTAATAAATACACTATTCTACACTGATATTTTATACAATTTGGGATTGATCTCATGATCCCAATCAACTAATTCTTTACCACATCCTAAAAGTATAATGGGTTATCCTACCCAATGGGATAATGAATTAATGCCATATACCAGGTGAATTAAGTCCAAGTCCTAATATACACTCGCGTATAATACCCATCTCAGCTAACAAACTATTCATAATGACTCTATTTACTAATACTTCGTGACTCGGTTGATACATTGTATACCTCAAGATCTTGCATGGGAATTACTCATAATGAATATTATACACAGTGAATATCCTAAATAGTTTTTGCTAGATACCCATTCACTGGTATAAGGATCCATATAAGTGTTCATAAGTATTACTACGTGGAATAGTTTTACGAAAGGGAAAAATACAGCAATAATACTAAAACATGTGAATTTTCCCCATATATGACCATAGGAGTTTTTTTATCAACCGTATGATTGTGGCATACATCGGCTGTCCAAGTAATGGAAGTAAATACCCAAACTGCCCTCCCAAACGCTTGAAAATCCCACAAAAACTGAAAAGCTAACCGCTAGAGAAACGTGCGCCGTAAATTGGGATTCTAAAACGGGTATTCCGTATTAACCGCAATATCATCTTGGGTACGGAAGAATAGGAATTGACGAACGAAGCGGCGTGTGACGACGCAAACATGACGAAGCCGACTTCGAAGGTGGGAACAAGAACAGTGAAGAAGCCGGATTCACGACAACAGGGCTCAACTAAGGCGGCGCAGACTGAGGCGGATGTGTTTACTATTGACGGAATTGTAAGTTTTCTCAGTCGCAGAGCATTAATGTGTGGAATTACATGGTTTTGTTCTATCTCGATTTCGTTTTTGATGATGGAGCTCGGTTAGTGAAAAACCCAATGAGTTAAGCAATAAACAAAATGGTGATGGAATAGGGTTGTGAATTAGAGAATGAGTTAGGGCAATAATTTAGGAACCACTGTGTATAGAGCAGAAATATGGAGTGGGAATATGGTGAATGAATGCCGGTTGGGAAATGAGAAAATATACAGGGCAATATGAATTGGAAATATATTCTGCTGTACATGTTTACATTAAGCAATGTTTAAGGTCATTAAATCGTGGATATGGCAGTGAATTTAGCAACGAAAACAGTAGAGGGAAATATTGATGAATTACATTAACTGTAGCTTTGAGATGTCGTGATAATTGGTTGAAATCTGTGTTAAGCAATAAACAAAGGCATTAGGATGTGCACTGCCATACTAGTGAATGCTTTGGTGAGTGGTGAGTAGCAGATAAATGCGTGTGGCAATAATTTAGGACAGTAGCTTTAAGACAGTATGCTTATTTGGTGAGTTGGGAATGAATGAATTGTAAATTAGTTAGGACAGGATGGTTAATGAAGGTAGTGTATTACGTTTATATATGAATACACTTTTATGTTGCGATCAGGTATACACAGGGGACGTAACCCCTCTGGCGGTTGATGGTATCTCTAAACGACAGTCGAAACGGCCAAACAGATTCACCTTCTCTGGGCCCCGTAAAGATAAACGGAGGAAACGAGATAAAGAAAAGGAGCAAGATATAGGTGATGATGTGCCGCATGCAATAGTGGGCCCGTTCAGTTTAGATCCTTCTGAAATGCCAAGTGCAGCCATGCTTGAAAAAACAGCAGAACTCATGCATGAAGGACTACTTAAAAACCACCAAAAAAGCAAGGACAAGAAATACAAGGTAGGATATGATGACCTTAAGATCAAACGCGTGAAAGGAGGATACGGGGGTGGAACCATTGATAGGAAGTCATGGTACTACGCGATTTACTTTCCAGGGAATTGGTTAGGTGACACGGTAAATTTATATTGTGTAATTTAATTTATTCTTCATATCAATTATATTGTTGAGTGTAATGCAGTAATGAATAATAAAACGAAAAATCTGTTTTGTGAAGCATGTGGAGTTAGGGATGTATTTCTTGAGGATGAAAGCTGAACAATACAAGCTGCGGCAGAAATTTACGACAGCAGACCCTATGTTTATGCCTTTGGTCAAACAGCATTACGAGAACCACATTAGCAATCAAATGCCAGTGTCAGAAAGTGCTTTAAATAAGAATATAATGTGTACCATACTTGGGACGCGTTTGGACTACGCACTGCCATGGGCTGAAGCAGAGCACGTGTACATGCCATTGAATACAGGTGTGCAAGTGAATTCATTCAGTGAGTTATTTATGACAGTATGAGAAGGGCAGTAAATTATGACAGTATGTATAGGGCAGTATGTTCTTGAGGTAGGGAAATAAGTGTTAATATGACATTTAATACAGGTAACCACTGGATTCTGTTAGTGCTGGATATAGGTAAGAAGTGCATACGTGTGTATGATTCTATCGTTCGTCGGGAACAAACAAACATACACCTTCACCATTACCTCCCGAGCATGCAAATGTATTTACCTAGACTGATGGATAAGCTAGGAGTGTACAATGAGAGAACTGAGGGGCCTATCAGGGATGACTTCTTGCAGATACATATGGTGAAAGAATGCCCACAACAAAATGATAGGTATGTGATTTGTTCAATGATGGTTTGGTATAATTGCTTACTAAGTCATTGCTTGACATTTTTTTATTCCCAAACAGTGACAGTTGTGGGATGTTTGTGTTGAAGATGGCTGAGTATCTAATGATGGGCAAAGATGTGGAGTACGTGAGGCCTGAAGATATTAATGCTTACCGCAGCAAGATGACGACAGAGCTACTCACTTACTTTGGTGTAATAGGAGCTTGAAATATTATCTCTCCTATGACTAAAACATATCTCATTTCTCAATATATGACTCTATGAGTTTATTTCCCACTATAATACGTGCATGATTAATTACTTTTTCTTTATGTTTTTAATTCCACGGTTGCCCTCCTAACATGATTAAGATGGAAATAGTTTACTGTTTTAGTATTCCTAATTAGTCGGACATGATATGGCACGGCTATCCTTTTTATTAAATAGGATTCCTAATAATATAGTAACTGCTTGGCTTATCATTATATATAGCAGTCCTAGAAATATGGTAAGATTGGTAACTGCATGGCTCATACTCCGTAATTATTAAGTATTATATTTATTTATGACACATGTTTATTACGTAGTGTTAAATGTATTTCTGGTCATTTTTAAAAAGGTACGAAGTACGTAGTATTAAATATTATTATTATTATGGAAAGACATTTTATTATTATTATTATTATTATTATTATTATTATTATTATTATTATTATTATTATTATTATTATTATTATTATTATTATTATTATTATTATTATACTTACTACAAACAATACTGCCCTCATACACATTTACTACGTACCCTCTTAAACAATTACTTATATTTTTATATTTACTGTCTATTTCATTTATGGATCATATATAGAATGCAAATATTTACTAATGAATAAAATAATTCATTATTTTACTGTTCGTGTTATTTACTGTCTTATGTTAATGCCCATTTCTTTTTGTCCGCTATTTAGTGCCTATGCTCACCCGTCAACATTTATTACTAAATAATTCATTATTTTTACTGCCTATGTTTTTTTAAAAGGATTTTACTACCTATGTTATTCATTGTCTTATGTTAATGCCCATTTCTTTATTGTCCTCTATTTAGTGCCTATGCTCACACGTCAACATTTATTACTAAATATTTCATTATTTTACTGCCTATGTTTTTTTGAAAGGTTTTTACTGCTTATGTTATTCACTGCCTTATGTTAATGCTCATTTCTTTATTGTCCTCTATTTAGTGCCTATGCTCACACGTCAACATTTATTATTAAATATTTCATTATTTTACTGCCTATGTTTTTTGAAAGGTTTTTACTGCCTATGTTATTCACTGTCTTGCCCATTTTTTTATTACCTAAACTATCGGCCATTGCTTTTCAAATAATTACTTTCTTTTGCAGCATATCCTTATTTACGACGAAGAGAAATTAAAGCATACATTAGGTTGCATTAATTATTGTTCCTAAAAATAAGGAATTAGTTCGTATATGCATAAGGTCATTATTGGTTATTTATTTTCATCATTCCAGCCGGCCATGTATGTGATGTTCCATTTGGTCATACATACGATTAAAAACATATATGGTCATATTCTTAGAAAACTCATGAGTTTTAGTAATATTAGAGTATTTTTCCCTTTGAGATATGGGTATTAGGACAAGTGGAGATGAAACATTGCAGTATGGCTTGGATTCTGAATGTTGGTTTTTTGATATAATTTATGCTACAAGTTGAACATTTAATTTTATTGTTTTGGTATGTGATGGAGTAGACAAATGTTATTGCACTTCTTATACATAAACTGCCTATATTCCTTGAATTAATGTGTGAACAAGTGATAACGGATGTATAAAGATAGTGGACAAGGATTTAAAATATTTGAGTTGTGAATTAAGTAAAAAAAAGGGGCCATCTGCACTAGTGAGTTTTAAAATCCCATTGACGATTAGTTAGTTTTAATGAAAAACCTTATAGGACCTGGCAAAAACAATGTAATTAATGGTATGCAGACTATGTAGGGAATTAAAGTATTAACATGGACATTAAATAACTAGTAAAGCACAATCATTCACACATGGTGGGAAGCAAGTCATATGGAATTGATATCCAGAAATAAATAACATTAACAAGAATGTTCAGAAAGAAAGCAAAACCAAACTGGTGAATGTCACTAAATTCGTAACAATATAAAAAAAATGGCTATTAAAAGCAGTTTTTAACGCATGTGTAGCGGAATCGGATTTCTGCAGGTCTTTCGGTTGTGTCCAACCACGTGACAACGAGTGCATGCTTGTTTCCGAACATGTTCTCCGGTAGAAGGAATCCTTCTCTTCTTCGGCCTTCCAGGAGGTCGTGTTTCGCATGATGGGGGCTTGCAAGTGATTTGACTAACATGAGGGGGTACCATCCAACCATCCGGACTCCCAATAGGATGAATAATGCCACAGTATGTTTGTGCCCAATGATGTGCTGTATAGAATTCTGATATATAATCGTAGCAAGAAAGTCCTGGTCGAGAGCGAATAGCAGCAACGGAATGTACACACAAAAAGCCATCAAGCTCAAATTCCCGACAAGTGCACGTACGTTCTTTCAAGTTGACAACATACGAGCGGGATTTCTTATCAAACACCTCAAACTCAAAAGCACATGATGGTTTCACCTGCACAATTCATTATAAAATAATAAAAAAAAAATGAAATATTTAGAAATGTAGAATTAATTGAAATAGCAGTGAAATACAAACAAATAGAGCAGTGGAATAAAGATAATGAGTTGAGGGGAATACTGTCATCACGGCGGCCATAGCTTGTAACACTACTAGCTCAGACTCAAAGTGTGTAGACAAACGACAAGTGTTAGACGTAGAAGTTTCTCGCCTTTCACAGAACCACTTTTGCATCCTAGCAATAATAAACTCTATCAACTTACAGATTGGGTATTCTCGGGCCGTGGCATTAACTGCATTTAATGACTCCGCATTGTTTGACATCATAACCGAGTATCGATTCCGACTGGCATATGCACGAGACCATTTGTCATAACCGATCCGCTCTAAATACGTACGAATACGTTCATCCTCACTGTCAAGCATGCGAAGGTACTCTTCACACTCATACACAGATCCTACACGAGCAGCTTGCAGAAACTTCCATGACACGGTTGTTTGGGAGCCACGAAATCTTGTTTTCAAATTAGCCAGAATGTGGTAAACACAATACCCATGCTCTGCATGAGGAAATACAGAACGCACAGCACTAATAATGCCCTCGTGCCGATCAGACACAATATATAGATCATCCCTATGCGTCAACGAACACTTCAACATGCTGAAGAACCATGACCAGTTTTCAGTATTTTCCCCACTACAAATACCAAATGCCAAAGGAAATATTTGTTTGTTTGCATCTTGTGTACATGCAGTGAGTAATGTACCCTTGTAATATGACTTCAAAAAAGACCCGTCCACAATTATAACAGGAATGCAATGAATCCAACCATCTTTCCATGCAGAAAGGCACATGAAAAAATTTTTAAATTCACCATTTTCCTTGCATGAATAAGAAACAATAGAACCTGGGTTACTCCTATCAAGCACATAACACATGGAAGGTAACCGAGCATATGATTGTTTTTCAGATCCCATAGCCAATTCCATTGCCAATTCTTTGGCAATCCATGCTTTTTTGTATGACATGTAAATGCCATATTTGGTTTGCATATCAAGCATGATTGATTTCGGAGGGTATGGCTTATTGGAGGGATCACCGTACTCGTGTTTGATTAGTTCGGCAATAATCCTAGACGTAGCCTGGCGGTTATTTCGTTGACGCAAATCAATGGGGCATGTGTGCTCAGAGTCAAATCTGGAAAAAATTAATAACATTCGGCATTATCTAAAGGGCATTAGAATGGATAATAATTTAATGCACATCGATCGGGAAAAAAATATAAACACAAAATTAATGCATGTGTAATAACAAATAAAAAAGAATAAATAATGTAATTATGATCACATAAAAAGTGCAAACCATAAACAAATCCAACTAAAATATATTTCAGCAATTTATACAAATAATTAAATACGTACTAAGGCATTAATTTTATATGTTCTTTTCAGTGAGCAAGTAAATATGTTTACTTTTTAGTACATATAGGGCAGTAATGAGATACATTACCATGAAGCAAAAATGAATCCAAGAGGAACGAAAATATTACATGTGCACAAAGGGAATAATATTCATGCCCAAGTTGCAATAGTGATTTTATTTCCCTTTTACCATTTTTTTCCAACAAACCAAAAAACTGACAACATAAAAAACGTAATAGGACATTAAATTATATGTCCTAGACACTGTGGAATTAAATTCTGTAAATTTATTTTACGTAGGCAGTAATATACAAAGCAATGAAACCATAAAAGAGCATCATAGGGAATTAAATTTATACGTCATTACCACTGCTCATTTATTTTAAACCTAATGTTATGAAGGGCAGTAATACACATGCACACAACGTATAAACACCAAAACAGTGACAGGGCAGTAATAGACATGCAAGGCAATAAACACAGAGAAATAAATGCATACCTTTTAACTTGGAACAACGACACTTTGTCAACGCACACAGCACGCACAGCCCACTTGCAATTGGGGTAATCAACACACACAACATGCAAAACCATCGGGCAAGAAGTCTTCGTTCTATATTGAAAAAAGTTGGTAATGGCATACATCTTTAAGTGAAAATCAAGTTCCTTCTTGCTTCCATAGATGCTATTCAATGCAATGCACGTGGGTTCGGAATGCTTGACTACAGGCATATTATGAATCTCTTCATCTACAAGAGAATTTAACCTCGTAATTTCAGCACTCGAAATGTGTTCAAGTTCAAAGTCTGCATCCACAGTGTGACTGAAATTATTGCCTTCATCACTTAAGCCACCACGCTGTTCGAGATAACTCGGAGGATTAATTCCACTTTCATTGTGAATATCATCACATATTGTGATGCTCTGATCCTCTCCAGTCGTAGCATCAACCTCCTCACCGGATACAAATTCAACACACAAAGGCATTTGCATTGGGTCCTTTTGCAAACTCTTCAATTGTAGATAAAAGAGTAGAGTATCGTCATCACATACATTCACAGGAGGTGGGCACGCAGCAAAAACGTATGACATCTTAATGTTCTTGCCGGCATAGGGCTCTCCCATCGCAGCACAAACTTCAGAACGTAGGGCATCATACGTACAATTGGACGGTATAGTTATGCCGGCAACATGAATACTAGAAAACAAAGTATTTGACACCCATTGACCGTCGTATTTGATCATAATCCACATTTCCGAGTAACCTACGGGGATGGAATCCATGGATAATGCCGGGAAATGGTAGACGTGAATGGATGAAGATGAAAAGAACGTATAGTACGGTTATTGGAAGAAAGTCGGATGTTAGGGAAAGATAATTAATTAGAATAATTATTTTAATCAATTACTTCCTTATTTTTAGGATATTCCCATTATTAAACCACCGGTTATACGCATGGCAGTTACGAATGATGATACGTGATATGAATCCCCACCATTTTAGGAAGGAAAAAAAAAATTAATTAATTGCATAGGAGGATAGTGTTGGTATTAACTTAAAAGGCAAAACACACGTCCATGGGATCACCATCGACCGTGGTCATAGATTAAGAATAAAACTAAACTAGTCCTAGATTGGGAAGTACTTCCAGTTTTAGTTATATACGTGTTAATTTTCTCTTTACGAAACTATCAAACTTGAAAGTATACAGTTATAAGTCATAGATCACTATAATGCTCCCTTGGATATCCTTACAATTACCGTCATCTCACTTTTGTACGATGGTGATATATGAATTTGATCCCTTACTAAATCTATGAATTGTGTTCTATATTTTAGGTATTTAGGATAAATACCTAAAATAAAACATTTCAGGGTTTGATATACAGATGGGGGTGATTTACCAAAAAGCGGGGATATGCCATATTGAATTCCAAAAAGCGGGGAAATAACTAGGTTTTACCAAATAGCGCAGGTCGGATTACCCAATTCCGACAAGGAATTAGGGTTTCGAAAAAACCCACACTCCTCGTCGGAACACCCCATTCCGACCCCATTTAATTTATTTTTTTTTAGTTGTCGGATTAGGTGATTCCGACCCCCTTTTTTTTAAAAAAATTGTTGTCTTTTTTTTTTTAGTTGTCGGATTAGGTGATTCCGACCCACTTTTTTTTATTTGTAGTTATAAAAATGTTAAAGTTTGAAATTGTAGGGTTAAATGAAAACTTTTGGTATAATTTTTTTGAGTTTTATCCATTCCAAGTTTAAAAGTTTAATTATATTAATCACATGTTTTTTTAAAATCTAAACATTTTGTATGTGTAGTATAAAACATTTGATTGCTTTATATTGTTTTGTAATGCATTTGTATTGTGAATTTTTTTTTAATTGCAATTTTTGTAATTTGAAGTGTAATTTTGATTTAATTTATTTGTCAAATTAGGTACAACTATGATGGTGTTTTGAGGGCAATTTTAGTAATTTTAAAGGAAGTGAACAAAAAGAATGTACTTTTCAATGTAATTCATTAATGAATAGAGAGTACATATAACATTAAATTTAATACTACAGCTAATGTTGTGTGCTCGGCCCTGCTCCGTCTCCACCGCCACTGTTCCAAGGCACCGTTGGGTCTCCATAGAAATATGATGAACTCAGAAATGAGTCAACAAAATCATCGGGTTGCCTAGTGAACTGATAAGATTCATAATACGGCGGTGGTTGATCAAATGTGACGGATTGATGCGTTGAGAATTGAGGTGGTGGTTGATCAAATGACACACCTTACATAATTAAATGATACTCTCAAAGTCTAATTTTACAATCTAAATTAAAAATTCACAAATTACAAAATTAACTACTTCTATACTCATATAATTGAAAATTAACTAACCTGAAAAGAGGCTAATCTCAAAGGTTCGAGAGGAATAGCTTGATAGATTGAAGAATAATATTGTAATTATTATGTATTGAGATGTGAAAATATGAGGTGAGGTGTAAACAAATCTATTTATAATGGTCGAGTAAATAATATAAAAACAAAAAAAACCTCCTGTCGGAAGTCAGTGTTCCGACCAGAAAAAAAAAATTAAAAATGTAGTCGGATTAGGGTGTTCCGACTGGAAGGGATGATCCGGATGGTTAGATGGTGATCCGCGTAGGTGTGAAGAACGGTGAGGATTAGGATTCCAATAAAATGTTTTTCTTTAGTAGATCCGCGTAGCTCGAACGAACGGATAGGATTAGGATTGAAAAAATTTGTTTCTTTACTCGGATAAGTTGGAGTGTATTGAATATTTTAGGTTGATGACACTTAAATTTTATCGGATAAAATTTATCTCATTATATTTATGTGATGAAATTTGATCTTATTCAGTTATCTTATTAAACTTTATGTGATAAAATTTTTCTGATTATATTTATGATTACATTTGATCTTATTGAAATTATCTTATTAAATTTTATGTCATTATATTTATGTGATTAAAACTTGTCAGATCGATTGTCACCGGATCATGCGAACTAATGGCTACAGAGTAAATCCCGGTTGTGAAATTATGCGGGACAATAGTTGTCTGATACCTACGCTGGGATCGCTCAAGAACAGCATTCCATATGTTCTTTGGATATAAGAATCCAGCTTGGTGCCACATTATTCCCGCATTTCGTCGATCGGCAAACAGTTGGACGACTTTATCGAATGTGGCCTGTACTAGTGCGGTGATAGGCAATGTGCGACATCCCTTTAAGACATTGTTAAAACTTTCTGAAAGGTTTGTCGTCAAAATGCCATATCTCTTGCCATCGTCATAGCTCAGGGCCCACATCTCATAAGGAATCTCATTCAAATATAAAAAGGCACTCTCATTTATGCCTCGTATTTGTTGCATACATTCGTGAAATTCATGTTCTGTGGGAGTGCTACCAGCTTGCCAACACAATTTTTTCAGATCCGCGTTTCTGAACTTGGTCATGAAATTACTCCGTATGTGACAGAGGCAATAACGTTTTGAAACTTGTGGCGATCTCAACTCTGGCAAGGATCTAAATGCACTTTCAATTCCTGCATGACGATCGGAGATAATGCACACACTACGATGACTTCCAACCACATCACGCATAACCCAGCTAAAGAACCACGACCAACTGTCAGCATTCTCACTCTCAACAACAGCATATGCAAGAGGAAATATCTCACGGTTAGCGTTCATGGCTACCGCTACTAGAAGAACCCCCTTGTATTTGCCATACAAGTGAGTCCCATCAACCGAGACTACAGGTAAGCAAAATCTGAATCCGTGAATAGAAGCTTTGAATGACCAGAACACTCGACGGAATTCAGACGTATCAGGAACGCCGACCTGTAGTTGTGATTGCAAATGAACAACCGTCCCCGGATTTGAAAACTGTATAGCTTCCAACAACATAGGAAGTCCATTATACGAGGCCTCCCAATTGCCGAATTTACGCTCCAGAGCGATCAACCGTCCATTCCAAGCTTTTTTATATGAAACACGGATATTAAATTTTTCATATATGTCTGACATTATGAGTTTAATGATGTAGTCCGGGTCAACTTTAACTTTCGGAGCGATTTCACTCGCTATGAGTTTGACCGTTAGGATCTTATCACCCCGAGATGTGACAGGATCCTCCCTGCAACTGTGATGGGGTTGATATTTTTTAACTTTCCATTTTGTGGAATTCATACCTTATGCTGCTTGGATATGCCAAGTGCAAACAGTCGGGTAAATGCAAACCGCCTTCCAAGACCGTGCTCTTTTGTCAACCGATTGGAATTGACGAAATTGACGAATGTTTTCTCTCGCCACCGCTTCTTTCAGTGCATCAAATGAAGGGTAAATTGCGCCAACTTCGATCCTTTGAGGCTCAGAATCAAGCACATATGGTTCTTCTATCTCTACATTGGCCCAGGTGGGGTCTACTGTCTCGTCATTACCATCCCTCGTGGTTGTATCGACATCACTACAAAAACCTTGTTCATAGTCTGGGTCGTCAGACTCTTCACCCGAATCTGAATGAATTCATAAGGGTAAATGTGTTAGATTTTGTTTAAACGAGTTATATTATAAAATGGAAGTTTTCTCTAAATCAATGAGTTCAAAATTACAAAAATAAATACTTCTAAAACAAAATAAAATTTTTGTCGAATAATTTTTTTTTAATAAAAAATGTATTTTATAAAATTTAATATATATAGTTTTTAATAATAAAACAAAGTATTTCTAAAAAAACACCCTCCTGTCGGAATTGGGCTATCCGACAGGCAGTTTTTTTCTATTTTTTTAACCTCCTTGTCGGATTTGAGCATTCCGACAGGCTACATTTTTTTTTTAATATTATATATGGTTTGATTATCTATTAAATAACGTTAAAAACCATTTTTTCATTAATTAAAAATATAATTTTGTGAAATCCAACATCAATAATGGTTTCAACACGATAATACTCCATATTATTTACATTAAAGACACATATTACACTGAAAACACATTCAACACGATAAATACGATAAATTTGTACACATATAAAATTAAGAATAATATTATACACTAAATTAAAATTCCAATTTCTCAAAACCAAAATTGAAGTTCAATTCTAAATTTAACACTCTTTCTAACTTTCAAGTATTTTATAGCTAAATTTAACCCTAAAATTCAAATTTAACAAATAAATTTCAAAAAATTTACAAATTACTAAATCTACTACTTCTATGTTCCTAAAAAAAAATTAAGGCAAATTAAGTTAAAGATATATATATATATATATATATATATATATATATATATATATATATATATACATATTCCGGACCAGTTAACTTGCAAAAATCATTTGACGACCTTCCCGATCGAATTTTTAGCTGAAATTTGGTATGGACAAACTAGACTTGATGAGGAACATGCTCAAAAAATTTCATCAAAAAATTCCACCGGGAAGGTGCCCAAACGGGCTCGGCCGGACGGGGCAGCCCGTCAGGCCGGCCTGATGAGATGATTTCTCTATATATATATATATATATATATATGGAATATTTGGGTGTATATACCACTTTAAATATGTGCAATTAAGTATATGTCATATATTTGTCCTATCATATTTAATTAAGTATATGTTATTAATTTGTCCTATCATATTTATTTAAGCTATATAATTATTTTACTCTAATGATGGCGGTTGTTCCTCCGACTTGATGATGGGCCTTCCACTCCATGAGTTTCGTGGAACGTCGAATTTTGTGGCGGGGTCGCTGAAGCTTCCACGTAAATGTGCAACTCCTCATACTCATTTGTGGCGATCCGGAAAAAATGACGCCATGTTCGCTCAT